CATCCTTCCTTGGGACCTTTTGAGAGTTCACATGAACCTTACGTTAAAGAAGGTGGATTCGCATCTCTTATAACCAAGCCTACAAATCATTCAGACATGAAAATTGTTTTCATACTTTATGTATTTCGTTTGTAAGGCTGGGGGAGGGGCGTATTTTATGGAAACAGATTGAACCAGGAAACATGACTGTGGCCATGAGAGAGGGACCACCCTCCTCACTAATGAAGAAAGTGTTTGAACCACACACCTGCGCCTAACCTCCAGCTCTGACATTTCATGCCTTTCACTTTCTAATTGCTTAACTATCTTGCGATCTTTCGGTAGGATAGTAGCTGTGTATGTGTGCTTACAACCAAATGCCAGTCACCAGTCACCATCCGAGGGGTTGAGCTACAAAAACTGGGACAGGGTCAATGGTACAAGGAATTCTGTATTCGAGCAAAATCTCAAAAACAAGCGTCTGCACCAAACACGTGATCAGATGTTCTTGGCCCTTCCACTGGGATTATTATTCCACTCATTCGAGAAAGACTTCATGAAAAGAATGGGGTCTGAAGGAATTTGGAGATTTTTGGCTTATCCTTAAGTGCCCAGAAGAGGTTTGTGTAATTTACACTGCCAGGTGTCCATGGCTTTCCTAGTGAAAAGAGAGAACTTAAATGCCTTCTTTGCTGCCTACTGACTAAAAAAAATATATTTCCTATCCTTCTGAGAGAAATTACTGAGATTATTTTTTATTTATTTTTTTTTTTGCGGTACTCGGGCCTCTCACTGCTGTGGCCTCTCCCGCTGTGGAGCACAGGCTCCGGATGCGCAGGCTCAGCGGCCATGGCTCACGGGTCCAGCCGCTCCGCGGCATGTGGGATCCTCCCTGACCGGGGCACGAACCCGTGTCCCCTGCATCGGCAGGCGGACTCTCAACCACTGCGCCACCAGGGAAGCCCTGAGATTATTTTTAAAGAGAGTGAGGGCGGGGTGGGTTGGGGAGTGGGGGGGAGAGCATTACCGAGTCAGACACCCTTATCCTGCCTACGTAACTTCAGCTACGCCGTTATGTCTTATCTGCTTCCTAACCGTATGGCGATAGGCCTTGTATTTTAAAGTTGCACAAACAGTAGCATGAGTATCGTTAAAGGAGTGTAAGCCGGGGCTTCCCTGGTGGCGCAGTGGTTGAGAGTCCGCCTGCCAATGCAGAGGACACGGGTTCGAGCCCTGGTCCGGGAAGATCCCACATGCTGCGGAGCAACTAAGCCCGTGTGCCACAAGTACAGAGCCTGTGCTCTAGAGCCCCCGAGCCACGACTACTGCACCCATGTGCTGCAACTACTGAAGCCCGCACACGTAGAGCCCGTGCTCTGCAACAAGAGAAGCCACTGCAATGAGAAGCCTATGCACCACAACGAAGAGTAGCCCTCGCTCGCCACAACTAGAGGAAGCCCGCCCACAGCAGCAAAGACCCAACGCAACCAAAACTAAATAAATAAAATAAATAATTTTTTAAAAAAAATTATAGTAATAAAAAAAAGGATTGCAAGCCACCTTCATGATTTGGAGTTGAAAGTTATTTGAAGTCAAATATGGAACAAATGACAAATGTCTTAAAAGAAGAGATTTATAGAAATATTTGTTAAAACAAACTAGAGAGGTAAATCCCCAGAGAACTTCCAGAATGAACTCACGCACCATGCTAACGAGAATCAGAGGTTTCCCAATGAAGGTGCATCAAGGACATTTGCCGTTCCCTCTGTGACCCTCCCAACTAGCCTCTTAAAATTTGATCAACTTTGGATTTTGCTGCTAGAGACATTAAAAAAGAAGAAATTATTTGTATCAAATACCATCAGCTTGCTCTTTCTCATGTCTGTTGTACCTACAATTATTCAGGCATGAAATCTAACGTGGAAATTTTGCTTTCCTAATCTTTCTTGCAGAATTAAGAGGAAAATAGAAGATGTTAATAGATGGTGTTTTAACAGATATGACCAGGCGATGGTATATTGCCTGTTGCCTCAAACATTGCTTTTTTCAACCCCAGATCGCCAACGCATGACGTAAACCAGGGCAGGGCAATTTTAGGCAGAATTTCACAGCTCTGCTATTGAAGTCCTGTGTTCAGCAACAGGAAGAAACGTGTTCTTAGAAACGTGTTCTTAGGGCGGGGAGTCTCACGTGGGCATCATTAGGCGGTTCAGGGTCTTCCTATTCTTTGCTCCACTGTGGGGTTTCTTACCTCCAAGAGTGATGTAGGAACAGCTGAGCTGAGCCTCACACACCACAGTGCCCTTAAAGCCCACCTGGACCTCGGCGGGGCGGCTGGGCAGCGGCCGGTACCCAGGCGTGGTGGGTGGGAGGAAGGCTCGCAGCATGGTGGGTCCCAGAGCACTCAGAGTACCTCTGCTGGTCCCGTCTCGGCGCCCCGCGAGTCTATGCCTCGTGTCAGGTGACGGCGATCACTCCAAGTTTGAGAATGCCAGAACCACACCACCTTCCCCGGTCCTTTTCAACCTGGCCGTCTTCTTTCTTCCCTGCGGCCCCTGCTGCCCGCCCAGGCCGGCCTCGCCCCGTGGCCGCCCAGAACTGGGGGTGAGACGTGAGGGCTGTGTCCGCCCATCGGCTCCTCACCTCCCTGACGGTGACAGGCTCTGGTTTGCATGGGCCACCACCAGCTGCTCCAGTGCCCCTCGCTCAGGACAGAGATAGGCTTGTCCCGGCTGGAAATGTGCGCCTAAGAGGCGGGAGCTGCGGTGGAATGTGTCTCTCTCTGTGAAACTATTTTAAGGAGAAAAAGTTAGGCCCAGTTCTACTCGTTATCTTGCTTTGCTCTCAGGAGCCAGGACTGTTGGTAAATCTGTTTCTCCTCCTTGACTATTTAAACTGTACATTCAAACTGCGTATTAACTGGGGTGAAAAGAACTGTTTCAAAATGACCCCATTTTAATCTTAAAGTCACGTTGCTTTAGAGATAAATGGTCAGGTCCTAAGGAAGTCTCCACGGTGTCTCCGTGAGGCTTCAGACCCAGCCTTCCCTTCCTCCCCTTCAACATCTGAAAGATGTGTTCACAGCATCTTCCCCCTCCATCTGCATTTCAGTTTCCTCGTAGTAATAACATCGTCAAACCGCTTTTCTATTTCTATCAACAGTTTCCTTGGCATCCAGTCCTTATGAGAATCTAGTTCCTTATGTCAAATGCCACAAATGTGTAACATCCCCCAAAAATGGCACCCAAAATATTTCTACTTATATGTTCTACTGAAGAGACACAAATGGCTGTTCTTCCCCTGCTACTGGGCTTTGAATTTCTTAGTTGTGTGTTTCTCTCCCCTGTTACCTCTTTCCTGCTTTGATAGTTTTGGAAAGTTCCATCTCCAAGGAAAGGAAGTTTTCACTCTAACCAAAGAATAGAGCAGGATCCTGGTTTTGTAACGAGGATTAAAGCCTCCAAAACATACAATGTCTTTGGATTTTTTAGTCGCTGAATGTCGGTGATCCGATCCACTCTCGCTCAGGGGAGCACAGAGCAGGTGGGTCGGCGTGTGGGAAGCTGTTGGGGCAGCTGGCGCTGGGGATTAGGGTTGATGGACCGGGAACGTCCTGGAATCAAGTTCTCAGAGACTCGCTTAATGATCTTGAGATGAAAGAATTTCTTTTTGATATTAAGGCTCTCAGCGCATAGGCTTTAGAACTCAGACGTTCTTTTTTCCAGAGTATCCATGTATCAAAGAGGAGTATGTGTGTGTATTTCTAAGAGGACACAATGGTTCCATCAAGAAAAAGCTGCCCCTCCCCCCCCGCCCCCCCGCACATGCAGGTAAGATAAAGATTCCTGGTGCACGAATCACACAAGAAGTTGACGCCATTGCCCCCTTTTGGCAAGTTGATAGTTCAAATTTATAGGGTCCTTTTAAAGACATCTGCTTAACACAGCACTAAAACGACATCTCCGGTACCCTTTGATTTCTGAATCTTGACTAACAAGAAGCAGAAACGCCCACCGAGTCATTGGTCAGGTGATGGGGGGGGGGGAAAGTTGTCAAAATATCACAGCTGTTTTAATGACCAAATTATATTCATATAATTAAATATTTTGTAAGTTTAAATTTTTAAAATAATTTCTTTTAAAAATATGTTGGTTTTCATTGCCCTACCATAACATGGCAGCTATTTCAGTGAAGTTTTTTTTAACATGTATATATAGTTAGTGTATTATTTATATGATTAATACCACCGGATCCTCAACTAGGTCTTTATAAATGTATGTTGGACCTGTTTAGCCTTTGCTATAAAAATGACCTAGACAGGCACATATTAAGGTATAGAATTTGTTTGAAAATTGTTAAATGAATCAATAGCAGCTATATTATGCCACATTGTTCTTTCACTACTAAATCATTCAGTCAGAGTTGTACCTCATCTTTCAACAGCTGTAAATATTACATGCAGACACTTTGAAGTCAGAGATTTATTACTGAATTTTGTTTTTCCTGCACTGTGTCCTCACTTAGGGCTTTCAAGGCCAATCTTTCAGTTACTAACGCCTTCCTGGGAGAAGGGGTAGAGGGACGGTAGAGGGACGGAGGCTTCCAGGCCTAATTTGTGCCTCAGGTTTCCAATACTTAACAAAGAAGACGGAGTGTGTGTGCGCGTGTGCCGGGCCTGTGGCGGCAGTGATGTTTCAGAGCTGGAGCTTAGCGTCGAGGCTCGTTTTCAGTCTGTTCATCCATTTAAGAAGCATTCGCCGCGTGCCTGTTGTGTTCAGGTGCTGCATTGTTAAGGACAACATACTTCAGTGTGTGTCTGTGTGCGTGCGTGTGTGTGTGTGTGCACATGCGTGTGTTCTCTGTGGGCCTAAAAAACCCCAGTGCGAGGTTTTCAAGCTTGAACTCCAATGTCTGGTTTCATTTATTCAAGAAGTAGGTATTTCCCTCAAGATGGAAAGTGAATTTCTTTCCATTTTGTAGTTTTGAAGATGCTCATGGTTGGTTTGATGTCTTTTTTTCAGTGTCCATTTATGGAATTTGGTTTTACGACAAGGAAGAATGCCAAAGAATTGCAGAGCTTATGAAAAAGTAAGTGCTGCGGGCTGAGTATTTGTCAGGACCTGGTGCTTTGTATTTCTAAGTGTACGTAGCTACGCTGTAATCTAAACAGAGCACGTCTCTGACAGCAGTCCTTTTCACCGTGGTTAGGAACACATTCACTATTACTTAATAAATGAAAAATAAACATAAGTGACAATGTTTTACATTTCCACTAGGTAAGATTTATTATGCAGAAGGGTTCCCCTCATTTTTTTCTGCACGTGTGAAGAATCTATGATATGAATTTTTCCAGATGGCAATTTACCTTAATATTATCCTCCTTTGTAAATTAGCAGCTTTTTCCCTTGAAAAGTTATCAGTATATCTCAGTGAAGAGAACATTCAGAGCCCTTCTAAAAAGCTGTCCCAGATTCTCTGGGGTGCCCACATCCTTCCTGCCCTGAAGTCTGCCCGTGGGGCTCAGACCTCCCTCCCTTCTGACCCTGCGAGGGCTTCGGAGAGTCTGTATTTTCAGTTCCTTTGGGATTATCTGAGCTAATATTAATTTAGTGATCAGTAGACAGCCCCTCTCTCTGTCTCTCTGTCTCTCTCTCTCTCGTTACTAGTCTCTTTTCTTGTTAATCTCACGAGGCCTTGTGATTCACCCCAGTCTGCATTGGGGGAAACTGAAATGACTGTCTGCCTGTCCCGCTCTTGCTGCCCTGAGGACCCTGAGAGGAGGCCCGGGTCAGCATGTTGTCTCCTCGGGGATCCATCAACCCCTTTCACCGGTTCTTGAGCCCCAGGCCTGCTCACTGGGAGGCAGTTATTTCCCTGCACTTATGCAGATGGTTTAGAGCCTCAGAAGGAAATGAGTTTCCTGCACGTGCTGGATCTGACCCAGGACTGGACTTGGCCGAACGCAGAGTCTGGCTGCCGCCAGTGCGGATTCTACAGAGCAGCTCCGTCTGCAAAAGAACCATTTTTCAATTTTAAATCCCGGGTCAAGGAACTGGCTAAAAAGTGACCCCCAGAATATGGAATGTGGGGAGTACCGTTTATAAATAGGATTGATTTCTGAAAAGCCTAGCTTGTGAGAGCCCATTTTAGGTAACCGGCTCAAGCTGCAGGTGGTGATTAGGTGTGTTCAAACTGGTATTTACCACCATAACAGCGAGTTCCTAGAACACCCATGTTATTGTAAACTGTGCAATGGATGATGATAGCAGGATCTCATGCAGGTTAAAAAACACCCTGTTGCCCAGCCAAGAGGCCACATAAAGATTGTCAGATTCCCCGGTGATTCCTTCACAGCTGGGGCTGGGAACTGATCGTTGGTGAGCAACAAGCCACCAACGTGTGTGGATTCCCTGCCTGTCCTCACTTAGAACTGAACCTCCCACCGAGCCCTCAGGTCTCCTTTCCCCGTAAACGTCGCGGCAGTTATGAAGGAGCATGGACTGCAGTCAGAGCCCACGCAGGGGGCACTGTTCCCCTCAGCCGCGCTGTAGCACGGAGGAGCGACCTGGCCTCCCTCTGTGTCATTTTCAGGAAAGCAGAAGGTGCTGCTCACTGCTATCTATGTTTTCGTAACCCCCTCCTGGGGTGGAACCTTCCCTGTGTTTCTAAACCACAGGATCCGAGGGGCTGGAATCAGCCGCGCTTTGCCTTCAAGGCCCTTTGGAACCAGGGGCAGATGCCCGATTTGCCGTGCGGTTTGCCCAGGGCTTGAGAACCCTAAATTGGGTTTCCTCAGCAACACACGAGTCCTTTCTGCTGCTCTCAGTGAGGAGCTGGCAAACTTTTTCTGAGAAAGACCAGTAGTGAATACTTTTGGCCTTGCAAGGCTGACTGGTCTCCATCCCAGCTGCTCAGCCCTGCCCTGGCTGTGTGACAGCTGCCACAGGCCATGCGTCATTAACTTTCTGTACAAAACAGGCCCGGGCGGGGGTGGCCCTCCCCACTCTAGAGGTGTCTGTGTGGTCAGTGTACTCGGGACCTCAACTCCCATTTTTCTTCTTTCAGTTCCAGCAGTCTTATTTCTAACATGATTATAACAAGATAAAAACAACTGGGTGAGAACTGGATGGTTTCAAAAACCGGTTGTTGGGCTTCCCTGGTGGCGCAGTGGTTGAGAGTCCGCCTGCCGATGCGGGAGACGCGGGTTCGTGCCCCGTTTCGGGAAGATCCCACATGCCGCGGAGCGGCTGGGCCCGTGAGCCATGGCCGCTGAGCCTGCGCGTCCGGAGCCTGTGCTCCGCAAATGGGAGAGGCCACGACAGTGAGAGGCCCGCATAACGCAAGAAAAAAAAAAAAAAAAACCGGTTGTTGAGTTGGCTTTTCTGGTGTGGATTTCCCTTCCTGTTTTCTAGCCTCACTCAGTACGAACAGTTGAAAGCGCACCATGGAGCGGGGGCGGCAGTGGGAGCGTTCCCCGTGGGCCTCGGCTCGGGAGAGCGCAAGGAGGTGGACATCTTACGGATGCTCACCAAGGCCAGAGACGAATACACAAAGGTGAGTCTTGTCTCCCTGCAATGCATACTTAAACTCCACGGTGGGGACCTGCACCCTGAGACGGACTTGGTGCCGTTCCTTCCATCAAACAAAAGTGCAGGAGAAATACAATCTTTATTGGCTTTTAGTAGGCTGAACACTGTTTGCTTTTAAGTGGATTCAAAGGCAGCCCGGGAAATCAGTAACCTTTGTATATACAAATAGCCTCCAATAAGAAGACCCCATTGACAGTAGCAACAGATTAATATAAAATTCTTTGGGATAAAATTAACAGGAAATGAGCACAACCTGTGTGGAATAATCATGGCTATCCTTGGTGGTACTAGGGCACTAGCAGTAGGAAGGACATCCAACCCCCTTCCTCTGAAAATCGGCGGTCGGTGGAAAGAATTAAGCATTTATCCTGCCTGGCCAGGGGCACCGGATAATCCAGGTTGATGCAGGAAAGGCCTTCTCCAACACAGAGCTCCAGCTGTTAAATGTGGACGGAATGACAGAGCCTAAAGCCCCGGTGGAGTAACTGAGTCAGGCACGGATCATCAGTAATGTTCGTGCTGTGAGAAAGGCGGACGGAAACCTGACCACGGGCAGGTCGGGCGGCCGAACGGCAAGTACGCGGCACGCCTGGAAGTGTTCCTGCCAGAAGAGCTGATCCTGAACCTAAGTCCTGAGCGCTAACAGAAAATGACAGGGGAGGGGAACAGGGCAGGTAGAAAACAAGTTAAATGACACCAGGAAGCAGTCAGAAAGGCCGTGTGCGGCGTGGGTTCCTCGGGGACAGCCTGCCAGGCTTCTGCACATGCCCTGGAGGCGGGGCCAGAGGCCGCACTACTGGAGACAGACACCCCCCCGCGGGCGTCTCTGGGCGAGTCCCGAAGGTGGTCAGCGCTGCCCGCCCGAGGGCTTGTTGACCGAATGTGAACAAAGCGCAGTTTCACCCGCCCGCCCTGTCACGGCCCCGACCCAGTTGCTTTCTCCCCAGCTTTGGCCACAGTAACAGCAAATCTCTGCATCCGCTTTTTATTTTGTTTGATTCTACAACAGCCGTGAAGAAATGTCCCTGTGACTTAATTACACTTTACGTCAGGCACAGTGAAGATTCATCTTAAAGGCGCCGTTTTTGCCCTCGAGGAGCTTAGGTTCTGTGACGACGGCAATAACAGTGGCCAGTATAGATAAGAAACGCAAATGCTGAAGAAAAATTATTTTCTTTCTTCTCCCTCCTCCTCCCAACACACAGACACAGACGCAGACACACATACTGTATTGTTTCTATTTGATGATGTTTTGACTTGTTGAAAGTCTGGCTGGGGAGAGACTGTCCCTCCCCAACCAGCCAATTCTCGGAGATACCAGAGGCCTAGCCAGGAGGATGCCTGTGACCGGGAGACCCAGCCCTGTGTGCCCGCCTACCCCGGGGCGAGAGTCCTCCGTCCCCGTCGTATCAGGGCCACTCCTGTCATCTGGAGCCCCCGAAATGACTCAAACACGCCCGTCCTAAAGTGCAGAGACCCCGGCAAAGGCTGCAGCCTTGACTCTGCCCTCGCTCCTGCTTCCTGCCCGCCCGTCACGAGGCACCCTCTGCAACAGGGGGCCCTGCGGGGCTGCTGAGCCTCTGTCTCCAGGCCCGGGGGTGGGAGCGGGTGATGCACTGCTCCCTGAGCCTCTGAACGCAGAGCTCACGCACACTCAGAAGTGCCGGTGCCCGGTCCTGGGGACTGACCTCAGGCCATCACCTTGTACTGTACTCACAACTCGCAGTGTTTCTCTGTTTCGTTTGCACTTCAGAATCTACATCTCCTCTGAGGCCCAGGAAAACTGCCACTTCTTACATGGAGTTTTCCCAGATCTCTTCATTCAGATTGATAGTCCCTTCCACTGCACTCACCAGTGCGTTACCCTTTAGAATGTATTTTGTTCTTCCTCATTTGTTACACTCACAGCGGCCTCTCCCGCTGCGCATAAACTTGTTGAAGTCAAAACAACGTTCTATCCGGTTGTGACAGTGTTGACATGAAGGGAAGACAGAGGTCTGATCAGTGTGCAGACTCTGCTTTTCTATAAATTCAAATACATGTCACATGCGTAATGTTCATCACTCCAACTGTGCGATAAATGACAGAAGCTCTGCCTTCTGCTGTCACAGGCCGGGTAACGTCACTCACGTCCAGAAGCGTCTGCACGGTCCTGCGAGCCCTGGTCCACATCCTTCTCGGTTTCTCACCACCCAGAGTGTAAAGCCCGGGCCCCTCCGAGCGCCCTGCCATGCGGTCTCGGGCGACCCTTCCAGCCTCGCTGCCTTGGGCTCCCGCTGCCCCTGCAGACGCTGGGAGCTCCTTCCAAACAGAGTGACATTGTTGCTTCCTGAAAGTGCCTTCCCGCCTCTCTGCAGGCTGGCCCTCTGCTCCCTCACTTACCTGGCAACAGGTGACGTCTCTGAAGGCCTACTTCCCGTGTTCCTTGTCCCTCGTGTGGTTTCTGATCTGCCCACTGGGTGTATTTGCCCCCGAGGAGTCCCCTTGTGCGAGGAAGCCCTGCTTTATCCTTGCCTTATGCTGTGTCATCTGCTCTCCCAACACATACGGACACGCCAGACAATGTGGGGAACAGGAGTGGACCGGGCCCCAGGTGCAGGAAAGGGACATGGAAACACAGTCTTTCCTCAGGATTCTTGCCGCGAGGAAGTGGGTTTCCTGCTAGCGGAGGTTTTCAAGAAGAGACAGAATGATGAATACCAGGCATGGTACAGGGGAACCTCACTGCTCTGGATGCGGATTACCCTGAATGACCTCTGAGGGCCTCTCCAACTCTAAACCGTGTAAATGTGTGAAAATCCCAAAAAGTAAGAGGAGGAAGCATTTTGAGCTGGAGGAAGATGATATGGATAAAGTGAAGCCCAGCTTTTTATGCAAAGTTAATAAAGTAGTAATTTAAAAACCGTGTTTGGGCCGGTATTTTATGTTTTCTCCCGGAAGAAACAACTTTCTGTGAATCTGCTGTGAAGCTCCAGTGCTGTGACTTGGAGCTTTTCCTCCTCCCAGTTAGGCTCGGGGCCGGGGCGCAGGTGAGTGGGGGCAGCAGCCGGGCCAGAGCGGTCCTGGGCCACGGGGCTACGTGCTGAGCCTTCAGGAGTGGACTGTTTGGAAGAGTACGTTTATACACGTGTAACTGAATCACTGCTGTACACCTAAAGCTAACGCAACATTGCAAGTCAACGATACTGCAGAAAGAAAAAGAAAAGAAAAGAATAAGTGGACTGTTTTGTATTTAAGACTATTTAGTGTTCTGAGGCCTAAGGCAAGAATGAATCGTTGTCCTCTAGCTATGGTTCTGACTTATTTATGAAATTAAAGAAACTACTGTGTCTTTTGACGTTCACTGAGAAAATTCAAGACTATAAGAAAGAAAACAAAACTACCCATAATCCTACCGCTCAAAGATGTCTGCTCTCAGCACTTCTATTGTATTTCCCCCCAGAGCCTTCTCCCCTCGTGGACACGTACGTGTTTGTGTGATAATACGGGCTCATGCGACATTGTTGTTAAGGCCTTGGGTGCGCTCAAGAATCCATTATACTTTCTCCAACTCTGCACGTTTTTCCAAGTGGTTTAAAGTGTCTGGGTCGAGAGAGGCATAGAAACTTAAACAAGTGGTAAATGAGCTGCAGACTGTCGAGATCAGCGGTGTTTCATTCTGGGCACTTTCTACATGACAGTGAAGCCTCATTGGTAGGTCGCCCGTCCTAGTGACACAGAAAGCAGCTTCTGGCCATTTTTCTGGGAGGGAGCTGTCTGCGGCCCACACGAGCGTGTACACAGTGAAGCAGTCTGCAGCCCAGGGTCCCTGCACACAGACAGGGCCGCTCGCGGAAGCGAGCCGAGCGGCCACTTGCTCTGCGCGGCCAGCCGGCGTTAAAGGCTTTTCACGCCATTTTATCAGTGACTTTACGAGGCTACACTCTTGTCTTGCGTTGGTGATCCACATCTTAGAATCCAGACCAGTGGGTCCTGCAGCCATCATTCACCTAAGAATTAGAAGTGATATTTTATGACTCATAAAGTGATTTCATGTGCCATTCAATACTAGTGCCAAATATACAAATTATTGGCAGAAAATAATTAGTCCTTTGTGCAGTTAACTTTACAAACCTAAGTGCGCGTGGTGGTAAACGGCCCCAGGCGCCTACATCCTTGAGTAGAAAATACAGCCAATAGGCATAAAGCACACCGGATACCCTGGGACCCCAGGGACAAGGTTGCATTCGCAGCCACTCCACCTCGGGTCGGTGAGGTGTGTCCTGGCCCGAGGCCGCAACTGTGCAGCTGAAACTAACAACGCCTCGGAGTCCACAGTGCAGAAGCCCGCGTTTTACCGTGAGTTTTATTTGGTGTTTCAACAAGGGAAACCCAGACATCACTGCTGTGCCCTCTCTGTTACGAATGCCACTGTGTGAGTGATCGCATGGTCGGTTAGATTAATGTGTGATAATGACTCAGGGTTTGAAACGATGAGGCTTGTCTCTCGTCTCTTTCTCTGTGAAATTCTAATTTGTAGCGAGCGGCTCCGAACACTGGGATTTGAATTACTCTGTTTGTGCAAAAAGCCATTTGTTAAATAAAGATGATGTTAGTAATTTTTAAATCAGCGGTTTGGGTCGGCTTGACGTTTTGGTTTGTCGACTAAAAAGGGCTGGTCGCTGTGAGGACGCAGCGCTGCAGCCTTCAGTCAACTGCCAGCCGCGCGCAGAACCCTCCCGCGGCCCAGACGAGGCACCGAGGGGGCGCTTCCTGCACCGTTTATCCCGGAAGGGCAAGCGGGAGGCTGTGGCTGCTTCCCGGCAACCCGCCGCCTTTCAGGCATCCAGGCGTCTCAGGGCCTCCAGGTCCTGCAGGCCGACCTAGTACTTTAGGGCACGGAATTGCGCAAACTAAGAGAAATTCGACCTGAATTTGACTTATACTCAAACGTAGCTTATATCAGAGGAGAGTAAGGGATTTTCCTTTGTACATGGAGATCTATTTTTTTTAAGTACCAGCTAGATAAAATAAAGAGCAAGAAGATGCGTTCTTTTTAAAAGATTAAAGCTTCCTTTACACCAAAAATGAGGTTCTTTTTTCCATTTCAGTGTAAAGCCTGTCCTGAGCCCAAACAGATCAGCAGCTCGTCCGCCATCTACGACAACCCCAATCTCATCAAGCCGATTCCAGTGAAGCCCAGTGGGAGCCGGCAGCAGCGCGGCCCTCGGCCCGGCCAGGTGCACAGCCCTCTGCTCTCCGCCCGGGCCTCTGTGGGGCTCCTGAGGGACTTGGCCCGGAGTACGGTCAAGGCGGGGCCAATGCTCTGCAGGTGCCCTAAGGTCAATCCAGGAAAGAGAGATTCCAAAGTAGAGATTTTGTCATTATTAATAATTTACTCTTCCTAGAAAGGGGTTGCAGTTTTTCCTTTCGGCATTTCCCTGACTCTGTGCTAATCCCTTGTGGACTTGAACTCCTTAGAGGATAATGTATTCTAAAAAGACAGCAACCTAATATCATGTCAGAGCTGACGGGACCGTTACACGTCGGGCTGTATTCTTCCGGGGTGGAAAGCTGGTGTCCCATGGCCCCTGAGGGAGCCACAGCCCACGCGCCCCCGTGGTGCCAGGTCCGGGGCCAGGCGCTGTGTGTGTATATGGGATTCCTGGTCTAAGGACTGGTGTCAAATCCCCCTTTAGACCCCATGGCTTGTCATTGTTTTTGCATCTAAGGTATAAGCATGACAGCAGTTTCTGTGTGAGCGTATATATTTTTCAGAAGAGTCCAGCATCAGCAGAACTGCTGATCTGCAAGTCCCATCACTGAGTGTGGCTGCTTCCATTTCTTAAGTTTATGCCTCACTAAAGGTTTTTTTTTTAAGGGAATTGGTTTAAATCAATTTCAAAAAAATGAACATGGGGCTTCCCCGGTGGCGCAGTGGTTGAGAGTCCACCTGCCGATGCAGGGGACACGGGTTCGTGCCCCGCTCCGGGAAGATCCCACATGCCGCGGAGCGGCTGGGCCCGTGAGCTGTGGCCGCTGAGCCTGCACGTCCGGAGCCTGTGCTCTGCAACGGGAGAGGCCACAGCAGTGAGAGGCCTGCGTACAGAAAAAAAAAAAAAAAAAAAAAGAACTTGGACACCAAAAACATAAAGACTGGCTAATGCGAGTCTTATATTGAATTTTGTAAAAAATAAGTCTTTTCTAATTATATTTTAGCTTCTGTTTTAAGTTTGCTTTTCATGGACATTTTTTATTTTAAGAGAGAAACCGGAATATGTTGACTTTAGGAGAATCTCATGTTTTCTTAGCCCAGCAAGACAGAAAGCAGCAGGGAGACGCCAGATGACACAGGGCGGGAAGGAAGCGGGTTGGTTACCAGCCACGGCGGCGCAGGGGTGGCAGGGATTGGGGTGTTACGCATCTGACGGGTCGTTATCACTACTGTTACGTAGTTGGAAGGATCAAGTTAGACTAAATGACTTAGGTTTCTTTCCAGCCCTCAATTTCTATAATTCTGTGGAATACTACCAGGAATTCTGAAATCCTCGTGTTTCTGCCTATCCTCAGTGTCTTCCTGTACTTTGCAGGGATAGATGGGCTTCCTGTTGAAGAGATCATTTGCCTCTTAGTGTCTGTAGCTTAGTGCCACAGTGGTCCCCAGCCTGTGAACCGCAGGCCCAGCAGGGATCATGTGCCTGTTTATCAATCAGCACACACTGATCATATAACAGCAGTCTTGGGGGTGGGAGGGAGAAGCCTGTGAACATTTTTGACATTAAAAAGGAGGCCCCAGATGTGTAGCGTTTGTTATCACTAAGCCTCTTCACCCTTTCTAACTGACTCTTTGTAAGGAGAAGAAATCGTCGGGTAGGTAAGTTATGTTTCACTGCCCCCCATATAACCAAATTACATGTGGCCCCATTTTCAGACGTGGTTATTTGTTCCAGACCTTAGACCCTGAACCCCAACACCTGTCCTTGACGGCTCTCTTCGGGAAGCTGGAGAAAGCTACGTGTCACGAGGCCGCGGGGCCTCCAAAGACCCTCCAGCAGCAGCAGCAAGAGAAGCTTCCGATTCGGCAGAGGGTCGTCCGCTCCCTGTCCTACGAGGAGCCCCGGAGATGCTCGCCCCCTGTCGAAAAGCAGCTCTGCCCCGCCATTCAGAAGCTCCTGGTCGGGAGCGCGGACCTGCAGCCGCTGGCAGAGCTGCCCGAGAGCCGGCCTCGTAGAGACGCCGCCCAGCCAGGGTCTCCCCGCGGCTCCGAGGTCTCCCGCCGCGCGCACGGTGCCCCCAGGACTCAGAACCTGCCGGACCAGCTCCAGAGCATCCCTGGGGCGCCGGCACCAGACGCCTCGGCCGAGACGCCGGGGCCCCAGGCACTCCCGAGGCCAGCGCCCCCCGGCCCTGGGCCCGGCTGTCAGCCCCTGGGGCCCAGCGAGGTCTCCCCGCGGGAGCTGCTGTGGAAGCTCCAGGCGGTGCAACAGGAGCGGCAGTTGCCGGCGCCCGGCCGCCCAGCCCTGGCGGCCAAGTTCCCCGTGGCCACCCCGAGCGCCGGAGCACGGAACCCCCTGGAGTCCTGGAGGGACCAGATCCCCAGCGCGGAGCAGCAGGCTCCCCGCCTTCAGGTAGGCGGCTGCCGGCCAGGAGGTGCTGCCAGGGCGCGGGGACGCGGGCCTCAGCCCCGTCTGGTCTGCGCATCGCGCCCCGCCTTCGCCTCCTACCTGTAAGGGAATCTGGCCTTGGCCCAGCAATCTGGGAGCTCCTCCCTTCAGAGGCTTCATTCCTACAGTTAAACCTTCGTGCAACGAGGTTTGATGGGGCCGTGGGAAAAACCCAAATCTTTGACCTCGGAAACCTAGGGTCTGAAATCATTTGAAATCATTCCGGGGATGCCAGACACCTGACCTCGTCTGGTGATTTCGGTCCACAGTAAGTCATTGTGCGTTCATTATCCAGGCCGTGCTTACAAGCACTGACTGCGTGCCCCGCTCCTGCGGCACGTGGTATGTGCAGCTGAGGAGCTGGGTGCCCCGCCCCTGCGGACGCCACAGCCCGTGGGCGCTTGAGGCCAGCAGAAAAGCAGGCCACCGACCCCGGAAGGTGCAGCCTCCTTGTCTGTCTGAGCAGGTGTAGCTTAACGAGGGTCCGGAGAGGCAGAAGGCTCTCTCCCGGCCCGCGACATACACACCGGTTGCCAGAGAGGGGAAATGTTGTAATTCTTAGAAATGTTCTGTCCCCCCAGGGAAGATGGTTCGCTATAGTCACTAATAACTTAGAACAGTGAGAAAACCGAAAGCTTTTCCATTTTTTCACTGCCTGTGGGTAACATCCGGAGATCTGACGGATTTTATTTTTCCATTTGGATTGGTACAAATTCACTGAAAATGCATTGGGTTTAAAAATTAGGAAGTTCTCCCTATTTCTGACGTTGGTCCTTCTGTCGTGTTTTGGCAAGTAGCTCACGACAGTGCCTCAGAAATCTCTCACTTTTTGGAACAAAGACCATCAGTGTGGAGCACAGTCTTCGTGTATGTAAGACTGTGGGTCGGAGTGTACTTGCCTGTTACTGATGAAAGTCTCAGATGTGAGTTCCTGCTGCTCTGGAGACATGGCTGTTCCCTGCCCTCATCCTCACTTCACCGTCACATTGCCCCCCTTCTTCTGCTTTTGCCCCTGCGGATTGGACCCTAGGAAATCGGGGCTAATCGTTGGCCATCGGCCTCTGCAGGCAGGTCCCCTTCCAGTGCTTGTGGGGCGCAGGGCCGCGGTGCTCTCTGACTGCCCACGAAGCCACCGCCCCTCGCAATGGCGCGCAGGGACAGTTAAGCAGACCACCTGCCTTCCTCCAGGCTACTTTGTGCCCAGGACGATGCCCAGGGAGCTTCTGAAACCACAGCAGCTCCTCGTGGCTGGCCCTGTGCCTGTCCTCATGAGCCCCTGGGCTTCGGGAGGCTAACAGTTGCGCTCTTCCCTCTCACCTGAGCTGGGGACAAGTGGGAGGTGGCTGTAAGCGTCAGGTGGGTCAGATGTGGCCTGCACAACTGGAAACACTATTGGGACCCCTGGTTTTAGACCTGCTGGCCAAGAGAGGCGGACAGACCTGCCCAGACAGACGGGCCACCTGCACGCCTGCAGGAGTGCCCCCAGTGACAGCTCATCATTACTTTTAATTTGCACCCCCCCCCCCCCCCGCCCCGCCGCACCAGGTGAGGGGGCAGGCGGCCGCTGGTGGGTCCCTTACGGCGGAAACTCGGGGCCGCGGCCGGGCAGGGACGCAGACGGACAGCCCCGGCGGAAAGGCTGGGGTCCTGGCGTGTGTCCCCAGGCGATGACAGGAAGCCGGAGAAAGGAGGTGCTGCTCAGAGCGCGAGCTTTGCCTGCCGTGGGGAGCATAGTCAGGACAGCAGGCGCCGGCTGCCGGTGCCCAGGAGGGAGGAGCGTGCAGTTGGAGGCTGGCCTCCCGTCGCCCTCGGCCCTGGATGGTTAACACTGAACCCGCTGTGTCCTCTGCGTTCTCTGCACCCGCCCCGTGCGCGAGCCGCCCTTACCCACCCGCCCATCGGCCCGTTTCCCACCTGCAGGTCCTCTCGTCCCGGCGCGCCCCGCCCGCCGCGGGCCCATCTCCGCTCATGTCGCCACTGGCGTTCGCGCAGCCCCCCTGGGCCCCACCGCCAGAGAGGGGCAGCGGGCTCTTGCCCCCGGGAAGCCAGGACCCAGCGGCCACCCCCAGCGGCCCCCTCCTACCCCTGCGGACGCCGGAGCCCCCCAGGACGCCGGGCAGTGCCCTGACGAAGCCGCAGCTCCAGGAGGCCCTGCTGCACCTCATCCAGGTAGGAGGGCGCCGCCTCCCTCCTCATCGGCCTTTCCCAGCAGCCTGCTGCCCTGCTGGTGCCTGTGCCCGCCTCCTGCTCCCCAAGGGCAGCAGCTCACCCCGAGACCAGCGCTTCTGGGTGCGTTTCAGACACTCAGAGTGGCTCTGGGCGTTGTGACTTGGAGGGCTAAGTCCTCAAGTGCCACCCAGCAGAAGAGGAGGAGGTGAAGCCGCCCCTGGGAGGGTCCTGGGTCTGTGGGGCCGTCGGGAGCCAGAGGGGAGTGGAGGGGAGGGCTGCCCCGAGCCCGCGGCAGCGCCCAGGCCGCTACTCGGGGAGGATACAGCTGGGGCGGCAGGAATGGCTGTGACGACCACAGCATGTTTTATAGATGACCTTGAAACCTGCCAGTGAGGACAGGCTGGGATGGCTTCCTCGTGCCCCTATGAAGTAATAAGGGCGATGACACTTGTACAGAGTTCTGGGCCGGGCTCTGTGTTAGAGACCAGGACGCCGAGGCTGAGGGACTGGCCTGAGGTCACCAGCCAGTAAACAGCAGAGCTGGGGCTGCAGCCCGGCTGCTGTGCCCCTTCCCACTGCACGACGGGGCCGGGAGATGGCAAAGCCCACCCCAAATGCGAGACAGGCCTTGCAAAGTGCAGTGCGCTCAGCCAGACGGACCGCAGACACCTCAGCTCACGTACTGAGGTATCTTTTTCGCAGACAGTCCATAAGGTTTTTGTGGTACTTTGCTTGAGTGTCAGGCTACCTTGAGAGTGGCCAGCACTTTTGCTCTGTCTCATCCTACTCAAAAAGACAGTAGTCGCCGTTGGTAAGAATGTTTTTTTAAAGGTAACATATTTTAGAGAGAAGGAATGGAATGGGGACAGAAATCAGCATCTGAGTGTGAAAGCAGGGTAGCAATCTGCTAAAGACAGACGAGAAGTGACCGCACCTGACTAATTCATAAATAAGGGTCCTTTCCACCGTTTCTAGAAGCCATTCATGAGAAGTTCTTGAGGACTTAGGTAGGGCATCTGTAAGCTCCTTTTCTGTGAGCAATAAACAAAAAACTTGAAGGTAAAAAGTTCCACATTTTTTCTGGCTTATTCCATTTAATAACACTGTTCCAAAGATCTCTGTGCAATAATGGGGACCCCTAAAGTCTGGAGCAGCCCCTGGACCTCGCTCGTTAGAGACCATACGTCCGTTCCCTCCACCCGGCCTGCGTTTCACGTTCCCCGTGCTTTAGACGGCCTCTTCCCCATGAGCTGCTGGGAGTCACGCAGGCATTCAGCTTTGCTCTCTGCCTGCTGTTAGGACACAGACTCGTGCTCAGAGACTTTGCAGGAAAGCCAGGGTAGCCTGGCTCCAGGCCAAGCGGGAGTGTGAAACGCGGGTGAATTGCCAGAGCGATAAAGGACAGGGTGGGAGGGAGCCGTCTCCAACATCAGAAGCAGAGAAAACCACCGATGGGACCTTGCTTCCTTCGGCCCCGAGAGTGGCAGGAGGGGCCCAGAGCCCGCAGTCTCACCGCTGCCGGCTTGCCAAGGCCAGAGCTTTCCGTAGCTAACAGGGGTGGTGCAGGGGGGTGGAGATGCACTGGCTCTGGCAGGGTACCAGCCAGGCACGTTGCCAGTGAAGTCTTAACTACGCCCAACAACGAAGGCACCCCTTGTGGGCGACTTGGGGGCCTCTCAGAGCCACCATGACCTCCCAGCCAGGCTCAGAGGACTGAGTTGGGTTACGTCCTCCCCGTGCAGCCTCCCGGGGGTCCCAGGTCTCTCCACACAGGAGGCCAGGCTTCTCAGGAGCCGGCCCACTCCGTGCTGCCCTGAGGCTGGTGCCTGCCTGAGCTGCAGGCCACGAGCACCTGCCGTGTCCCGGGCTGGCCACCGAGGACCGGCAGCTGACCCTTCTGGCCTGGCCTGCTGCCCCACTGACTGTTCAGCTTAAAAACTAGCTGCTGTGGGCACGCACCGGTGGAGAGGTGTATCTTAGGATCAAGGTGCCAGTTCAGCCCCAAGACAGAGAAGGCCTCTCGTTTCTGCAGCCAGATCACATCCCCTGGGGCTTTTGACTTTTGTTTTCCAGAATGACGACAACTTCTTAAACATAATCTACGAAGCTTATCTCTTCAGCATGACACAAGCGGCCATGAAAAAGACTCTGTGAAAGGAGAACATTTCAAGACTGATCTCCAAGGCCCTCCGGCTCAAGGTTCTTTCATGTCAGATGTTGTTTCCCTAAATGTTTCTGCCTTTTTTTAAAGTATGTCTTTTATATGAAGTAAAATATGCTTCAGGCTCTTTTCAGTCACGCAGTTCTTTCTTTACAGTCTTCAGTGCACCTGGTACCAAGAACTGAGTGGGTAGGAAGAGTCCTTTGCTCATATCACACGCTAAATACCCAGCTGAAATGATTTTTTCTTACATGCACTGGGCCATTTCTAGATGAGTCCTCTCTCTGTGGGAAGGGGTGTTCTGGGAACGTGGTTTCTTTCTTATTAGCAGCCCCGGTTATTTCTGGAACTCGGAGAACGTGCCGACCGCCAGGTGGCGGTGTCAGCCCGTGACCACTGTCGCACCTCGCCAGCCTCTTCCAGACAAAGTAATCCTTTCCTTTGTAAACATCCGTTGGGCCTTCGAAGGGAAATGATCTCTAAAGGTATTTCTCTCCAGTTTCCAGGGGGGAGTCGTTTAGGGGTCCACAAGTGGCCCAGATTTCCAGGAACACAGCGTCTTGTCCGCTCCTTCCGGCAGAAGCCTGCCTGCTTCCAAAGGAACGTTTCATCATTTTCAGCAAAACGTGCTGAGAGGAAGGTCAGAGAAGATTTTAAGGCCGGTCCTTAAGCCTCTGTGGGGAGGCAGTGGAGTGCGGGCGTGACAGCAAGGATTCTTGAGGTCGTGGAGCCGACTGACGACTCGTGTTCACAGAGACGAGGGCCTGCCCTCCCCCCAGCCCTCCCCCGGGTTGAGTCGGCCCCGGAATTGGTCCCTGCTGCGCACTGGAGATAAAGTGAGCTTTGTGTTTCTATAGCCCTGTTTATTCTTGGACCATAAAAGGATCTCTAGAGGCCCACACAGGAGCCGGGCCTCGTTCTCCTTTTAGGGGTCACAAAGGAGGCAGGGAAGGAGGTTTCCTCACAGCTTCTGATGCCCAGAGGTGAACTGGAAGCTCAGACCTGGGGTAGGCACATAACCAGGCAAGGGCCTGCGGGGAGCGCCTCCCCTCCGCCCGCCCGCAGAAGGGCGCCTTTCCTTCGAGGAGGGCCCGGCCCACCTTGCCGGGGCGCCCTGAGGCCGGGGTGCGGGGCTGCTCTTCCCTCCTGAGTCAGGAAGGGACACCTCCCTCTGCTCCGTCTCCTATAGCGCCTAACGCCCTGACAGACCACAGAATCCCTGAAGCTCGTCATTGCGTGTGCAGCGTTTCAGGGCTCTTACGGGGAGTGTGGGGCAAGGGGAGACACACGGCCCTGTTGCCCCGCATCGGTGACGCTCACCTCGGCGGCACACACTCAAACCGGAACAAAATCCACCGTCTCCCAGACCGCGGGCGACCTTTAAAACCCGCGGGCACGTCTTTGATCTGAATTACACGTTTAGGGTGGCTTCTCCAGCTGGGGAGAAATGAATCCCACTGAAAATTCTTCTCATATATTTGTGGTAGCAAGTGGCTAATTCCTGAAATATGTATTCCTTTACTTGATTGTTATATAAATAAAATAGAAATCCCAGTTGCAGCACCTACTGTGAAAAGGTGGCCGTGCACTGTGGCTGGAGGGGCCCCCCCCGTGCCCGGTGTGGTCAGACCCACACCGCAGGCGTCACTGGGCCTTTCTAGGTCAGCACCACAGTGGTCTGTTTTGAAAACAAATTCTCCATCCTTTACTGGAATGAACCACTTTAAAAGTGACAGGCACAGTTTGTTCAGACCAAAGACTGAGCCCCCTTTCAAAGGGCTCGGAGATGAAGAGCTGATTTCCTCTGTGTGGGAAGCAGGTGAGAGCTGCTTTGTCCAAAGACCTTTCTCTGGAGGGTCCGGGAAATGGATTGCAGGGTTATCTAAGCACCCAGGACTAGATCTCACATGTAAACTCACTTCCTTTTTCCCACCTCACCCCAAATTCTGAGACCATCCTGGACGCCCTCCTCCATGTCGCTGGCTTCCGGCAGCAGCGTGAAGCCAATTGAATTCCAAGGGGAAGGAAGCCTGAGATGGGTCCCTGAGCAGCGCTATCCCGGGCACTGGATTTCAACCCTGGAGAAGTGACTGAAGTCGGTTCTGCCTGGTGCAGGGACAGAACACGGGGCCTTGGTCAGGCGGACTTGCCCTCACGTCCTGGACCAGGGACCTCGTCTGAGATGCTGTTCTTTCATCTGTAAACGAAAGCAGTGCGCAGCTCTCAGGTCCTCGCAGGGATTAGATGGGAGCGATGTAGGGA